GCGTCGTAGTATTATCCATGAGGTCTCTGTGAAAGGAACGAATGAATCGAATTAACGACAAGCATGGATACTTTAAGCCTTTGATAAAAAACAGTAAAAAAACAGTATAAAAAAAAAATTACGTAGAATAAAAAAGAAAAGTAATTATTTACTTTGAATCAGCGAGTAGCGATGGCCTGGAAACGTTCCATTTATATGCAGAGAAGAGCAAAATATCGGCGCAAGAGGAATTCATCTTGTACGATTTTCTCGGATGAATGGTCTCCTTTTGAACAGTTTCGATTTCCAACGCATCCAATTCTTGATCAAACACTTGGCAAAGATCCATTACTATCGACTCGTGCACCTTTTGCCACAAGTGTGCGCGAAATATTTGAATCAACGAAATCTTTAACGTTGGAATTTTACCATGCATAAATATCCCTGTTAAATCCAATTGTACCTAACGACAGACAAAAACTTGTATTCACCAACTTATATCAGGCAGGGATATATCCCTCGAATTGAACAACAATTTTCAATAATAATTACGATCCATTGACACGACGTCGTCAATTACCTGAAAACCAACGTACACGTTCGCTCTGTTGATGGTCGGTGACCACCATAAAGTGAAACGACGATTTGGAATTTGATTCAAACCGGATCTTTGAGCGTTGGTCAATTTTTTGTATTTCATAGATTCTTCGAATCCAGATGCTTTCTCCCTGAATCAAAAAAATAACAGATTATCGATTTTAGATTATCGACGTTAAAAGGTATAAATTCAATTTCAAGAATGGAAAAATCTTACCAGAAAAGACCCTCCCACGTTGGGAAGTACGTCCCCTTGAACAGCGTATGTTCCAAAATACCCTCCACACCGCCAAGAGCCTGTATCATATCTGTTCGATAATTATTTAAATTCCATAATTTGCCATCGTGACGTTGATGGGTCCACCAGAATGGATTTTGCTTTAAGACCTACGATTACAACAGAATGATTAATGAAAGATGTAATTCATTTTCACGTAAATGAATAAGATGCACGCAGTGAAGCATCTAAGTAAATGCTAAAATAAAATACAAGAACGAGATACTACTCTATACCTGATATTGTTTAAATTCCGTACGTATTCTCCAACCTTTGTCATAGGCAAGAGTGTGTCTATCCTTTTGGAAGAGTGTATTTATTCTAGGAATACCACGATCCCAACTATCTTCGAGATCTTCCAAAGTGAGCCTACGATTCTGTGCATTGGCCTCTTGTCGCTTCAACGCGTATTCCGCCCACACTCGCTGCGAATCTATGAACTCGGATTCCCACGGTTGAATATATCGATACAAGTTTGGGATTAATTGATCTTCGTCGTGACTCATGCCCGAACGGAAATGCGTAATACCAACGTCCGTCTGTTTCGACCATCTTAGATCCGACTGTAAAAAAAAAACGTTACACTCGTTATACTCGTTGTGTTGTTTTCAGACGTTCAAATCGAATCTATAAATCTAAATATTCGAGAAAAATGGAAGAAATTTTCAAACACAATGAGGTGGTACAAACCTGAGGTATAAGCACATGCCCCATGGAAAGCATTCCAAGTCCACCGAGTTCCTTCGGCGTGTAAAACACTACTGGTGGAAATCGCGAAGGCATCTTTGAATTGAGACCAATTTTAATACGCGTTTGGATTTTATTCTCGCATTTGACCAACAGATCTAGAAGCTCCTGCGTGTTCACCACCGCTTCGCGGAAGTAAGTCATCAGTCCGATCAAAGCTGTGTTCCATTTGTTAACGATCTTTGTGAAGGTTGTCGATCCAGAAGCCATAAGGATTTGCCTAACTCTGTTGTGAAATCGTTGCAGACTTTCATCGTCCACTCTCAAGAAACATTGAGCCGTTCTTTCTTTTGTAATTTCGTTTTGCAAATTCCACACGCCGTCCCTGTGGGTAAATTCCTCGTGCGTAGTTCTGCATTTCGGCAAAATTCTGCACTCGAATCCACTCATGTTAAACAACAAATTAGGATTGTCCTTACTGTACACGCTAACGAAGCTATTTTCCCACTGTATCGTAGTCGTGGACCGGGGCAATCGATTTTTAATGTCCCAAAATACAGCACGACCTCTGAAAATTTTGACGAATTTTTAACGATTCGAGATACGATCGACAATTTTCAGGTTTAATCCACGGTACGTGAATAATAGTGAAGAAAAAATTGTTCGATCGTTGTTCACTTACAAATTAACGTCATGTTTCATAAGACGCATTCGCGCGTCACGAGGCCAACATTTTTTATTGTTATAACCCACGATATTTTCGTTGTTAGGATCTGGATGCTCTGTCAAATATCTCTGAATTAAGTCTCTCGCTTCGTCGGCAGAAAATCTGTTAACAAAAATGAACGATTCGATTAACGATAAATAAATTAATATTCCACGTGCGTGAAACGGTAAGACGAGCGATCCTCAAGTAAAAAGTCTTACCTCAAAAACAAATGTATTCTGTCAACGTATCTGCAGTATAATCTAATAGGATGTGCCGTTTCCGAAGCTACGTCTTGGAAAGTTAAAAAATCGTTTGGCATTTGAGGGGGACCAGCCATCTCGCTGGCTCGTTGCAACCCAAGAACCAGTAAATCTAACACCAAACCGTAATATTGCGCTATGAACGATGCAAATTGCAATCCTCTGATTATTCCGTAACTGTTTGTATGATTCATATCCTAGAAACGACCAGGTTAATATTAAAATTACGTTTATTCGACAGAAAGTCAAGTCGACAAGTGTCTTTCGACGGAACGAAGAATTACAAACCTTGTAATTTATAACAACGTTATTCTTTGCAGTCATGTAATCGGCTATATTATGATCAACGATCAATCGAAGAAGTCTGTTCAATAATGTCAAATCAATTTTTTCATAGAGTTTTTCGAATTTTGATTCCAACAACACGTTACACTCGCCTTCGCTGACATCCCAAACATCTTGTAGATTATTGATACCCTGACACCATTTGTACACCAATAAAGGTGGCGGTTCTGTATCCGAAGGTTTAACCCAAGGTGGAAATAATCTTCGTTTATCTGCTTCGTACCATAAATATTGATCCAAATAAGCATCCGTAATTTTTTCAAGCGGCTCGACGTCGTAAACAGGAATCAGATGACTGTAAAGATCCATAAATTCTATTCCCACCTGTAAAAGGAAGATACGTACGATTTTATAAAAAATATAACGAGAAACAGGTGGAAAAAGCAGGTACAAAATGGGTTACGATGCGTTACAAATAGTCAACAAAATTACCTCTTTGAACGCTCGTTGAGTTAAAAGATGACGTTTGATTCGAGACAATGCTTCGTGTGGATTATCATAGGCTTGCTCTATCAAGCCGAGTTCTTCGCGTTGGCTTTGATTCAGCCTCGATTTCACACTGTACGCTTCCTTTAATCGTTCCAAAGCTAATATCAAAAGCTTGGTATCGTGTTTGTAAGATAACGGTGGGAAAGGTATAGGGGCGAATCTTCTCGATTCCAACCAATGTACAGTTGTAGTATATATAGCTACCGCTTCTTCCGGAGAAATATACGGACCATCCTGCACGAACGAACCAACCAAAGTTTTGAAAACTGATAATAAAATTCTATAAGCGAGACGAATAACAAATTTTCGTACGATCTACCGATATTGCAAACATTTTCTTTTCTCAGTCTCTGTAAAGGTGTTATTTGTACACTTGTAACTGTTTTTTGCTTACTATACCTTCAAATAGTTATGCTGCCGTTCTTGTTCGGCTTTCAAATAGAGCCGCGTAAGACGTCCGAGATTTTTTTTGCAAACAGTTTTATCCACGGTTGCACCGCGCCTGATACGTTCCCGATTATAATGCGCAGTATTGGTCCACCAATCTGCCTTCATTTTAACGTAACGAAGGATCATGTTTTCAATCGGTATTGGTAATCCAGGTACCTATGAAAGGTGTTGGTGAGAGAAAAAAAAAAAAAAAAAAAAAAAAAAAAAACAAATTGTTATACCAGTAAAGAGAGAAAATAGAGAAAATTAATTAATCAAGTGAGAGACAAACCTTCCAAGGAATGTTAGCCTTCCAACATCTCCATGCCTCGCTAAGATGTTGAAGTATCGTGCGGGCTTTATTTTGCTTGATTCCCTCTGGCATCATGTCCACGATATCGTGCATTACGGATGCTCTTAACTCAAGATCGAAATGCGACTCTACTCGTTGTTTCGTTACAGTTTTTGCAACTCCTTTGGAATGACGACCTTCGAACTGCCTGGATAACAAATTTCCCAACCATCTTTCCAATAACGGAGTAATTCCCCTCATGAAGAAAAGCCATACTCTCCAGCCAGGTGCCCAGAATCCACAACCAGGACCTTTCCCAACAGGACCCTGTTTGTCCGCGCACCAGCGCAAACAACCAAATAATTCATGGTATTTTTACTTAATTTCATTATTAATAATGGCTCGACTCGATACAGACACTTACCGTGTTAAAGCGATAGTAAATTAAATGTTTCAAATCCTTGCACATTCTGATTTGTCGCATTAATTTATACTTGTATCGATACATTCCGGTTAATTGACCAACGTGTGCGAAAATATATTGCAGTCCATCCGCGAGTTGAAATGCATCAACGTTGTTCAAACGATATTGTACGTGAGAATCGATTATTAATTTCGTCAAACGCAGGATTTCACGACACAAATGGAAAGCTGAAAAAAAAGAGTGGAATTTTCGTAAGAACCTTGTCTTTGTAAGAAGTACACATTGTCTGTGCGTCTCTCTTTAAACCCACCACTCACCATTTCCAAACCTAGATTTCTTCCTCTCTTTCGTCGTGAGAGTTTTGACTGGTTTCAGATTAAAATTATAATCCAAGTGAAGATAATTCAAGTTTTTTCTATGAATAAGTAAATTTAACATGTTGTACCCTTGCCTACAGACTTGCAGACCAGCTTCAACCCAATCGATTGTAGTCGTTTGGAAGAACTTCGTGGATTTGAACGACCGGAATAAATAACGTTTCTTCTGTGGTTTAGGATGTCTGTGTTTCAACGCGTTCAACACAAAGTATTTCAACAACTTCTGATAGCTAACTCGAACTTTAACAGGCTGCCCCGGTGGGCAATGTTCTCTGTACCAAGATTTCACCAAAGGAATGTCAATGGCTCTTCTCGTTCTGCCGGAACGAGTATTAAATGGCCTTGGTGCCCATAACAAAGCTATCCCGTTGGCTGTATTGTCTGTATATAATGGCGTTTCTTGAAGAAAAGGTTGCACTTCCTCCGGAAGTACGAAATCTTCGTCGTCTTCGATCTGTGGTTCCAC